GTGTAGACAACGTCATAGAATAATTTCTTTATGATAATGTAGTACTTTTTAAACTTCAAGCCGCCGCCGCTGAGACACTTTAATTACAGCCGCCGCGCCGCCGATGGTATTCGAAATTTTAGAATTTTCGAGCCGCCGCCGCTGTGCAACCTTAGAATATCAAATCTGCGCCGCCGAGCATTTAAAAAAAATTTAAAACACTCACGCCGCCGCCGATCAGCCTAACGGCTTACACCTCTACACACATCCACACCCAAATCATTCAAAAATTGTTATTCTTGAAAAAGTCTTGTAATAAAGACATTTGTTACATCAAAAGAATTTTATCAATTATTTCATGCTTCAATAATGGTAATCAGAAACTTTTATTTTCTAAATATCAGGGCTTTGGTATCATTGAAATAAATACCGACAACCACATAATCCTCGACTAGATCTTTCGTACAAGATATTGCAAAGAAAAATTTAAACGATATGTTTGGCGATGATGCGTGATGCATGGTAAATATTCTTCTCTTAATAACCAATTCGTTGGAGAGAAAGACTTGTACTTTCATTTTTTTAACTGTATCAGCAAAACAATTTTGTTAGCGTCCATGATAATTCACGTGGACGCTCACTTATCATTTGAGTACGCCTTCTAGTCTAATTGGCTTAGGACAACTGCCCGGATAGCAGGAGGTGTGGGTTCGATCCCCACGAAGGTCAGCTTTTTTCCTCTCTTTTCGTTCTTTCACTGCATGTCCATCGGATAAGCTAACAAATTTATTCTGCTTTTTCATGTCATCTATTTTATTCATTATGTTCTTGATCGTCTCTTGTTGATGATATATGCTTCTTCTGATTTCCAAGACATCCAAAGTTCTTGGCTACTGTTTCTAGAACTTCCTAGAATTTCGATTCTACGTATTCACCTGCTGATAATCAAGATCACTAATGCGTACCAGCCCAAAATAAATGCTGTGAATTAGCTATTTATGACAAAAACAGCGATCATTTTCAGTTAGAATTTTTAAAGCCTTTACAAGTATTCCGATGATTCATACGAAGATCGAAATCATAAAAAAATCGGTTATCAAATTTATTTTCCTAAGAAAAAATGATTCAAAGACTTGGCTATTAAATATCTAAAATCCAAGCTATTTTTATTTTTCAACTGTTCAAAACACAGTTAAGTTCATTATTCGAGTTGTTTGAACAGTAGTATACATCCATTTCTATTCATAATCTACTACTTTTTTGCTTCTTTCATTTGCTCATCATCAGAATAATCTATAAATGATAATTCACAATAAAATATGATATGTAAATGATAATCCGGTCGAAATAATTCCGTAGAAGATTTGACATGTTTTATTTGATGTTGTTGATATTTTATCGATAAAAGACGCATCGCTTCTCTACATACAATTTCAAAATGACAGTCAAGAGCAGAAATTACATCCCACCAACCATGCAATTGTGGATTAAATCCACCTACACCGTTCATTCGTTCACACAATTGTTGATCAATAATCCAACATATCAATGCTGAAATTATTAAACTAAAAAATGCTATTATTAAATACATGATTCTGTGTGTATGATGTTGTGTTTGTCGATGTAAAAAAGATAATTTAACAATTCCTCATATAACCATCAATGCAAAATGTACTTGAAATATGATGACAAATGTTTGTAAACTATGCAAATAGGCTCATAAAACTGCATAAAATATTCCAAATACAATTGCTAAGTCAACTGCATAAGTTTTGTCTTTTACTTTATTAAATTTGACCATTCTAACGAGGATAGACCACCAAATAATCATTGTATAGACCATCGCTAGTTCATCTTCCGTTTGACCAAAATCTGGGAGTGTACCATGAAACTAAACAGAACCAAAACGAGCAATGCCAAACGAAAAAAATTAATAGAAATCGATTTTCAATATTATTATGTGAACCTAGAATGAATAATATTGCAACTAAGAAACACAGAACTAAACTTGAAATACAGTTCCAAAATTCAGCAATATACTTTTGTTAAGATGTAATTTCGTTCACACCAATCGATTGAACTAGTGCTAGGTGACCAATAACCTTTAATTGTATCGAGTTTTGATTCAAAATGTTTTACATCAGATCGATGTGTATCACTAGTTAATACTGCTCGTGCTTCAATTACAAACGTCGAAAACATTATACTAGATAATATGTAGAAATTTAACATTGATAGCGGCATTTCGATGAAGATGGGCGTGGGTGTGGGTGTGTTTAAGAGTTCAGATATCATTTGTTTTTGACACATACATCCACCCATCCACCCACACCCTTCAAGGCTTCTTGAATATTTTCCATTTGTTGAGACACCATATATTCCATATATTTTCCAATTTGAATAGTCTACGTCGTAGTAAAATCTTTTCTTTCACAAAGCACTTTAGCGATGTAACTAAGGAGATTTAGTGGGTTCAAAGATTGTTCAGCATTTCATATTGTCGGCCATATCTTTCTTTCTAATGATTTTAAAAGTAAGATTATGAAAAGTGAGGTTATCTATGAGTAATTATTTAATGATGTTTTTTCTGCGAATAATTCCGAGTGACATACATATATACATGAAAAACTAATTAATTGATCTTTGAAAAATGATGAATTTCTATTTGAATATTCTCAATTTTATTTTTATTTTTGTTAACAGAAAAGGCTGATGTGCTTGTAGTTTGATATGATGAAACCTGATTATTCAATTAAAAAAGAATTTCACTGAATAGAGAAATTGCTTCAAACTATTCATTATCCAACTACTAATCGATTACCACGTCCTTTACAGCATTTTACATCATGGAAAGCGAATGAGTTTAGAATTACAATACTTTTGGTATACAAGTAATTATGCACCACACATTGTATTGATCCATTTGATTCAAGACTTTTCTCTTGCAGACTCTTTCAGCAAGTAATGAAAAAGAAATATTATGAACACTTTCGATTATTGGCATATGCTGCATTTTTTTTCCAAAACACGAATATTAACAACAAATCGATTGAATCAAATCAAATGTCTTTTAGACACATTTCTTAATCAGTTTCCTTTGTTATACGGCGTTCGTATAACAATAATAATTAAATTTTTGCTTTTTTAATTTTATTCTTCTGTTCTGACTTTTAAAGGCATCCAACTGTGTCCCGGTGATATATTTTCTAGCACACGTCCATCAAAGATTACTTAAATGTGGGTCTCTTCATAACTATAGCTCTTTCAATTTCGAAAGTACAATTGGTACGCATGTTTGATTTGTTCTACCATAGCGACTTTTATTTCACTAATCAAGACTTTCAGATATTTTATATCAATGCATTATTAAAGCTGTAAATAATAATTATCCGCGATAAGCCAGGAGCACCTCAAACTAAAAGATCTCTTGGAAACGATGAATTGAGAAGTACACGTATTTCTAAATATTTTTTCACCAATTTTTAATACTCTAACATAGAAACTACAAACTTAGATAATTCACAGTGAGAATATTTAACTTAGAAGTTCATCCACCCAAACGATGATATATTAATAAATCATATTCTACTTCATAGACATACATCGTTCAGATAGCATCAGTAAGTTTTTTATCAAAGATATTCACCGTTGCTTGAAATCTGCCGTTGCCGTGAGAGTTTTCAGGAAACTACGGAAATATCTTCCGTCATTATACTAAATTACCACTGCTAGATTCACTCAATCAGATTGACTCTTGATTATTACTTTTGGACTTAGTAGACACTCAAATTGGATGACAATTCATCGGATTTTACAACTTCCCTATAGCAAAGCTGTCCTGCTGTCGCAAAAGTGTTTTTGAAATGTTTATTGCGCCGTGTTGATTTTCAAATAATATGCCGCTGACGCCGTTGCAGCAGCGCCGTCGTGAATATCTCTGTTTTTCAAACGCCGTGAGACAGATAATAGCTTGACATCTTGTAACTTTTTTGACTCATTTTGAAATAAATTTTTTGTTTGAATGCGACGAAAGTTTGTACATATCTAATTTGTTGTTGCTCTTTCTAATTAGGATCCACCATAAAATCTATATATAGTTCATCGATGATGATATCTGAGCTTATGAACAATTTTGAACTTATATCTCATGCTACTACTATTCTCAAAGATGCATCCTTTCATCCAAAAATTGCTTTATTCATAAGTGAAATCCTTTTTTTCTAAAGACGTGCTATACCAACATCCATCAGCTCGAATATTCATATTTCATCTGGTTCATGCAACACTAGTTGAATTCTTATATATAGCTACGTATCTCGAACATACATACGTCAAGGAAAAATTCACTCACCATTCATTATGCTTTATGAAAGATGTGTCTTTCAAAGTTCATTCTTCAAAAAAATAAACAAGTGCATGACTCGGCTTTGATTTATTCTGATGAGTCAGACAATCTGTAAGTTTGTTCGGTTGTTGGAATTATTCAATTCATAGATACTGGCGAACTATTATTTATTATTGATGAAGCAAAAATTATTGGTTATGCTGCATTTTCACTTAATGGAACGGAATACATAAATGACTTCTTCATTTACGCGATGTTATCAACATCGCCAAGTACTGTGTCCAATTGTTAAAATTCAATCAGAGAGAAGATCGCATACATATTAGATGAAAATCGGAATTCTGTTTGTGAATTCCACATATTTCCAAACCTTCTAGAATCCACATAAATATTCTTGAAATCACTACTGTTAGTTAATTTTTCTAATTAATGTTTTTTTTCATTTTCTTATGATACATATAAATTCAACTGTTCTAGTTTACGTCGTTTAATTTCTGGATCATTTATCACAATAAGTATTATACGTATGCGTAAAAAAAATTAATGTGGGCCAATGTACTACACCATAAGTTTATGAGAATTGAATTTGCACTTTATGCAAAAGAATTTACAAACAAATGATACGATTCATGATCTGAATTGGCGTACTCTAACCTATAAATAATCAAGAGAAGCCCGAACTGTTTAAGAAGTATTTTATAGTTTTTATAATGCATAAACAAAGATCTTTCATTCGCGTAAAAAGTCTAACAGGATAACAGACGTGTTTAAATGAGTACAACTGTATCCTACAAAAGATTATTCCATTTTGCTAATCTCAAGGAACTCATTAATTTAAACAAGCTTAATTGCTTAAAAAACTGAGAATTATCGAATAAATGTTGCACTTAATAAAACCTGTAAAGAAAAGTACGCGTCAAAATGTGTTAAATACGAGTTTTGAATGGGTAGAAACGCTTAATTTCCAAGAAAATCTACGCCTTTTATCCCTTAGATGTTTTAACGCATTTTCTTTAGAGTCTTGCCGGACCAGGTTGAGAGACTGACTCTGAAGATCGAAGAAAATGATTTGGCTGATCGGAGTGTGGAATAATGTTTTATTGCGAGATTACGTTCTCTATATAAACGAGTGGCAGTGATGGAAATATCAAACAGGATAGAAAAAACCCAAAAATAGTTAAGAGAGCAATGGGAGAAATCCAAGCGACAAGAAGAATACGAAAGGAAAAATTCGATAAACGATAGTGCAGATGATATGAGGGGAAAATCCATATGAGAGAAGAAAAGGAAAAGTGAATGCACTGGGATAGAAACATCACAGAATGGATCTTGATCCCTCAGTGACAAACTCCGGGGAAAATATTAAAACTTTTAGCAGTTTTATATGAAGTCAAGGATCAACCTTCAACCCAAGGTTGATTTTTGACATTTCTTTCTATTTAATATTGATATGGTAGATTGCTCTTCGAATAATCAATTTATAAATTAATTAGTTACCGTTTTCATCATGAATTGAAGTTTTCAACTCATGAATAGTAACACATGAAAGTCAAACAAAATATCACGTGAACAATTAAAAAATGTAATAATTTGTTCTTGCTTAGTAGCAGAAGACCATAAGGTACACTTTTAATTACAGAAATAGACAATGTCGTAGAAAATTAAGCGATAAACCTTTTCCAAAGAAATCATTGTTTTAAAATGATGAGAATCAACTAAGATATTGAGGAAAACATTGAGACTATCATTTATTCTGCTAAAACCATAAGACCAAACAGACTACAGTAATAAAAAGTATTGGGGTCGGTGTGCAGTGTGCTTCCTATTGTCACTCACAACCACTAATCAAACTCAGAGAGAAAAGCACAGAATGGCCACGGTTTTCACCGAGGGTGATCATGTGAGAATGTATGTCTGAAGAGTGTATGTAACTTCACACCCAGTTTCTAGTCATCAGTGACGAATATTGAATCTTGTTCTGTAGCTGTTATGCATACACGTCTGAGATGAACCTAACGACCAGAAACTGCCGCATGTCGCCGACCAACAATAAGAAAAAAGATATGCTTTCTGCTTTCATCCTTATATATTTTGATTTTGTCAGGCCTTTTCTCTGTTCTTGTTACATAATAACGAGTGAGCTGAGCTTTCCATTACTCACCTTTTTTCATTGGTGCGAGTTCTCGAGTATTCTATCGATCCTTTCGAAGAACGCTGAATTTACTAAAGATTTTCTCATGCATTTT